ATATAAGTTACAGGTTTTATGGTATAATTATACCAAGTCCTTGAACTTACATTCTTTTGTTCCTAGAAACTGATCACTTGAATTTTGATTAGCTAAGAGTATTTGACCTTCTTATTTAAAGAATTTATAAATATCACCTTTAAAATGTCAAGCTTTGAGATTTTATTTTATTTTTTCATTTCAAATACCTGGTTAATTTTTGCCTTTCTAGATACCGCCTCATGATGACAGTTATCCTAACACATCATCTTTTTCTTTGCACCCATTGTAACTACAGTATCTCATTATAAACTGGAATATTACATGGCACTTCCTTATATCTGAGTATTTATCAAAAGACACAGAACTTAACAATATAATTTTCTGAGAGTAAAATATGTGATAGCCAGCCTCCAGAATTGCTCCCAATAATCCTTGCCTCCTGGTAGTCATAGATTTGTGTAATACTTCCAACATTAAATAGAGCTGAACTGTGTAACCAAAAAAATACTGTGAAAATTATGGTGTGTAATTTCTAAGTCAAGATCAGAAAAGTCTAGGTTAGAAAAGGCACTGGGGCTTCTGTCTTGCTGTCTCATGGATCACTAGCTCTGGAGAAAGCCAGCTGCCACTGTGAGTATACGTCAGAATTAACTTGACAGCCATGTTTAAGAGAAACATCTTGGAAATGCATCCACCAGCCCCAGTCAATCCTTCAGATGTGTGCAGCCCCTGCCAACGTCTTGACTGCAACCTGAGTCAGAACCACCTACGTAGCTTTGTCTCAAATTCCTGACCCATGGAAACTGTGTGAGATAATAAATGTTTACTGTTGTTTTAGGTCACTTACTTTTGATGTAATTTTTATGCAGAAATAGATAACTATTACAAAATATAAGTAAAATTATTTTTTATAAATTTATTTTTATTTTATTATTTTTACATTTTAATTTTATTTTCTTAATTTCAAAAAAGTTGATCAAAAGCTGTTTGAATGGATGAAATACAATATTCCTTATGCTTAATATTTATTTTCTCTCATAATTTGACGAATTGTTTCAAAATCAAAATGTCAATGTTAATCTTACCTTTAAGCAACATATGTCAGAAAAGCTACTATGTAACAGACACTCAAACAGAGAAGAATAAGGCTGTATTTTTTCCTTGGAGAAGTTTTGGGTTTCTGAGTGAGATGGACAAATAAACAAATAATTATGATACAATGTGTTAACTGCTTTTAATACAAGTACCCCTAAGGTGCTAAAGAATGAGAGCAAGGTATAGAAAATTATTTTAGGAAGTTTGAAAATGCTTCACAAAGGAGGTGGCATATAAGTTAAGGTGGCATTAAAGCATGAATAGGCATCCTCTAGATAACAATTGAGGAATGAGCCTCTACTGATATTAATATTTATACAATGTTTGTGATAAATCAAGTTCTTTTCTAAGCACTCAAGTACGCCCACTTCATAGATGATGAAACTGAGGCAAAGGGGGGCTAAGTGATTTTCCCAAAGTCATACAGCTGGTAAGTGGTTAAAGTCTGGATTTAAAATCAGGGAAATCCAGCACCAGAGTTCACATTCTTAACCACTGTACTTTCTGCTATTTAAAAAAAAACAAAAAAATTGCCAAGGAGTTGATTCCAACTCACAGCGATCCTATAGGCAGTGGCATCATTAGGGGGTCTGTGGGGTGTGTACCACACCCCTGACCCTGTAAAAGGGGGTGAAAACAAAGTGACCCCAGAGTCCGCAGCAGTGGCGGTGGTGGGGGGGTGGTTTGTCACCACCGGGATAGAGGATGCCAAGGCAGTGGCATCGCTAGGGCTGGTGTCACTCATCACCCAATGGTACCCGTCACCATCCCCGGTTCCCCACCAGTCAGTGTGCTGCGGATGGTCTGGGCCTGCCGTTAGGCAGAGAGAAGGGTCTCTGTCTGGGCCAATGGCAGAGGGGAGGAGCTATGGGGGAGCCACGGGGGGTGGGCCTGGGAGGGGCGGGGCTGTCATCCCACAGTGGTTCACCAGCCCCATCCACCCCAGGACAGGGGTCAGAGGAGGGGTGATACCATGAGTTACTCACTGGGTGTCACCAACCCTAGTGACGCCTATATGTCAGAGTAGAACTACCCCATAGGGTTTCCAAGGCTATAATCTTACAGAAGCTGACTGCCACGTTTTTCTCCTGCTGATTCCACCACCAACTTTTCAGTCAACAGCTCAGTGCTTAACCATTGCCACCAGAGCTCCTATACCCAGGGAGGAAGAAACAACTGCATGAGTGGAGGCAGCAAAGAATGAAAGTATGTAATTCCCCAGCACTATCAGGAAGAAATAGTAGTAAGTATAACTGGATAACAGGGTGCATAAGCTGAATTGCAAAATAGAAATGATAAGCAAAGCCAAAAACTCGAAGTTCATGCCAAGGAGTCTATAGGTAGGTAATTGGAAATACTGAAATAGTTTTAGGTCGGAGGGCAACCTCATCAAGTTTATGTATTATAAACACACCTTTGAGAGCAATGTTTAAGAGGAGAGACCAGATGGTGGAGACACGAAGTAATTGCATGAGTGCCCTTAAAAGAAAATGAAGGACTGAAATATAATAATAGAGATGGTGGTAATGAGAGGCAGAGGCAAATTACGAGACATATAAAGTTTAGCAGGTACACGATATGATGACTGATTAGGTACCGAGGAAACTCGTACGATGAATTGCGGGTTTCTTTTTTCAGGAAATGAATGGATGGTTAGGTCAATAATAAGTACATTATTACTTACATAGGAGGAGGTCTTTCATAGAAGATGTGTCTAATTAACATGTATTGAGAGAAGAAATAAAATAATACTGATACAGAGGTTATCTTTTGCCCTATCAAATGAAATGCAAGTAGCACAGACATTACTCATAGCACCTAATTACAGTGATCCAGTGTTTACTCTATTGTAGATTATAACTATGTCTTACTTTTAAGTAATCTAATATAAAAATGTAAACTAATTTTAGGTTGGAGCCCTGGTGGCACAATGGTTAAGAGCTTAGCCGCTAACCAAAAGGTAGGCAGTTTGAATTCACCAGCCTCTCCTTGGAAACCCCATAGGGCAGTTCTACTCTGTCCTATAGGGTAGCTGTGAGTTGAAATCAACTCGATGGCAATGTTTTTTTTGTTTGTATGTTTTTCAATATAAAAATCAAACTAATTTTAAGTAGCTGCTCATTTTATTAAAGCATTAAAAACAAATTCAACAACACTTTCTATAGTGTACTTAAAAATTAACTTCACAAATATCAGATGTGCATGCAATTCTTAAAATACATCTGTTGCAAAAATGAAAGAACAATATTTTATGATCCTATTTGCTTCTAAAATCTGAATCAATGAAATCCTAAAAAGTAAACAAATTGATGAAATACTACAGTCAGTATTGACTAAAGGAAAATAACATTTCTCAGAGTAATGTAACCAACTATTTTTTACTTAAAACTCTAGTTTATAATTTTATATCATAGACATTTCAATTGTATACTAAACAATATACATTACACAATATGCTAAAAGTATTGTCTGTTTACAACAGACATTTATGGCTCTGGAAAATACTCTTTTGCTTTGGTTGACATCCATAGGATTTACCTCCACTGCTTACATGATGCTCACTTCAGCCCAGCTACCAAGGTTACAGCTAGTAGAGCTGTCTAAATTGCACCTCCATGTCAATAAACCCAGAAAATATAGTTCTAGGACTTTAAGATATTTATACCTGTATTTCTTTTGATATCTTTTGCATAGTATTTACTAGCACATATAGTAGGTACTTGATAAAAAATTGTTAAATGAGTGAGTGAAGTGTCATAAAGATAAATAGGGGATCTCTGAGTGTATAGAATGGAACATAGAATATTTACAGTTTCTAGCTCCTACCTCCACTTCCACAGGAGAAAGAAAATGGGGAGTACAATTATGAAAGAGCACCACTAAGAGGCTAATGAAATCCTTTTGCGTGTAGTGAAAGGTGATAAATAATAAATCCATTCATTGGTTCATTTAATATTTATTTTGCACATAACTGATTAATTTCTGCGCTCAAAGAATTCACAGTCAATAGAGGGAGTCTCATGTAGAAATAAATAAATATAATTTAAAAATAAGTAAAAAGTCCCCTAACAGAGGGATGGACAAAGGACTTAGAGATTACATTGTTGTTGGTGGTGGTTGCTATAGAGTCAATTCCTACCCATAGTAACTCCATGGGTGCAGAATAGAACCGCTCCTTAAGATTTTTACGGCTGTGACCTTTCCCGAGCAGATTGCCAGGCTTGTCTTCTGAGGTGCCTCAGCTAGTAATCGATCACCTAATCATTTCTGCCACCCAGGGACTCCTAGAGATTGAATAGGCCATATGAAAATCTATCTTTTATCTTTTTTATTACTTGTATTTTGCCTCAAATCCCTAAGGACATGTGGACTCAAGGCACAATATCTCATGGCAGGCAATTCTGGGAAAATTCTTTTAACACTCTTTATTGTCAGTAACTCAAAGGAGGATGGTTTGGTGGGAGAAGCAAAGACTGCGTCTGTAAAGAAAGCCTGGAGCCAGAGGATAGAGAGACTTAAAAATATTTTATCCAATTTTTCTTTTGTCCAGAAGTTCTTTTGTTTTGGTTTATATTGCTAAGTGTAAGATTTACTAATTATCCTTTATTTAATGGTGAATAAGCTTCCTTTTTTTTTTTCCCTAATTAAACATCTACTCAAGTTTTCTAATCATTACCTTTATGAAACGGCAGCATTCAACATTTGTTCAGCTCTACAAATAAGAGTATCTTTGAAATCAGTGAACACTAGAAAGGAGAATAGAAGGGGAAGAGCAAGAAGGGAACCAAACTTTAGTGGCCCTAAGGCACACATGTGGCGCCCTTTATTTCACACACTAAGATGAGGCAAGGAAAAACAAAGCCAGGTCTTGGGAGAACATTTGTATTTCTTTTAATTTAAAAGTCATATTTAATCTATCTTACCTGAAAAATTTTTGTAATCCACTAAATCAAACATAACAATAGCAACAGCTGACCACGTGATTATGAGAGCAATGACCAGGAGCCAGGCTGCCGGGGAGCTGAATGTCGTCATTATGTCTTCTGTGACTGTCCTCTTCAGCACTTTTCCAGGGGATCTGGGCACTGATCCATTTTTGCTGTCTATCACAGTTGTGGTTGTAGATGTATTTCCTAGTCAAACATTCAGAAAGGAGAATTACAATTTAGAAAATCAGGTCAAATATCGATGACAAAGAACACAGTTTAGAGGAGTTATGCAAATTGCCTCCTATAATAAACCAAAACCAAACCAAACCCATTGTCATCAAGTTGATTCCAACTCATAACAACCCTGTAGGACCGAGTAAAACTGCCCCATAGTGTTTCCAGGGAGCAGCTGGTGGATTCAAACTGCCTATCTTTTTTAATTTTTTTTTTAACTGTACTTTAGATGGTTTACAGACCAAGCTAGTTTCTCATTAAACAATTAATACACATATTGTTTTGTAACGTTGGTTGTCAACCCCAAGACACACCAACACTCTCCCCTTCATGACCTTGGGTTCCCCATTACCAGCTTTCCTGTCCCCTCCTGCCTTCTTGTCCTTGCCCCTCGGTTGGTGTGTCCATTTAGTCTCGTTTTGTTTTATGGGCCTGTCTCAGGTTTCACGTAAGGGTGAACCTCAGGAGTGACTTCATTACTGAGCTATAAGGGTATCCTGGGGCCATACTTTTGGGTTTTCTCCAGTCTCTGTCAGACCACTAAGTCTGGTCTTTTTTTTTTTTTATGAGTTAGAATTTTGTTCTACATCTTTCTCCAGCTCTGTTAGGGACCCTCCATTGTGATCCGTGTCAGAGCAGTTGGTGGTGGTAGCTGGGCACATCTAGTTGTGCTGGACTCAGTCTGGTGGAGGCTGTGGTAGTTGTGGTCCATTAATCCTTTGGACTGATCTTTCTCTTATGTCTTTGGTTTTCTCCTTTTCTCCCTTGCTCCAGATGGGGTGAGACCACAGGAATGTCTTAGATGGTCTTTCACAAGCTTTTAAGACCCCAGACGCTACTCACCAAAGTAGAATGTAGAACATTTTCTTTATAAACTATCTTATGCCAGTTGAGCTAAATGTTCCCTGAGACCATGGTCTCCAGACCCCTCAGCCCAGTAATTTGGTCCCTCAGGGAGTTTGGATGTGTCTATGGAGCTTCCATGACCTTGCCTTGAACAAGTTGTGCTGTCTTCCCCAGTATTGTGTACTGTCTTACCCTTCACCAAAGTTACCATTTATCTATTGGAAAATAATATTTTTTTGAAAGTTGTTTAATCTAGCAGTCTCTGTTTCTTTATCTTTGTCAATACTGGGTATTACTCAGTGTTTAAATTACATAGGAGGAAAACTATGTTTAATTTGCAATTCTTTGATTACTAGAGATGAGATTTTTTATTTTTTTCTCTGTATTTCATATCTTTTTTGGGCTATTTTCTATAAATCTCCATTTGATGATTTATAAAATTATATATATCTACATGTATACATTTATATATACGATAGTAACAATTTATCTGCTATTTGTTGTTTATGTTGCAATGTTTCCCTTCATTTGTTAACCTTTTACTTTTTATGTTTTTTTTGTATACAGAATGAAACTTAAACATTTTTTGTAACTTTTTTCATTTTTGTCCTGTAAAGTTGCAACCTTTGTATGGCCAGAAAGCTCCTCTCAATAGACAGCAGTCATATCGATTATGATTATCTTTTTTTATTGTAGTAAATAGATATAAATATACATATATATATATCTCTCAAAACATATGACACATCAACGTTTTTACATGTACAATTCAGTGACATAAATTATACTTATCATGTTGGGCCACCATCATCATTGTTTCCAAATTTTTCAATCTCTCTTAACAGAAGCTCAGTGCCCCCTAAGAAATGATTCTCTTTCCCCATCCCTGTCACCCCTGGTAACCACTAATAAACTTTAGTTTGTATATATTTGCTTATTCGAAATACTTCATGTGAGTGGGATCACACAATATTTGTCCATTTGTAACTGATTTATTTCACTCGACATAATGTTTTCAAGGATCACCCATGTTACAGCATGTATAAGGACTAGATTTCTCTTTATGACTGAGTAACATTCCATCGTATATATGTACCACATTTTGTTTATCCATTCATTTGATAGGCATTTATTTTGTTTCCACCTTTTGGCTATTGTGAATATGCTTCTACGAACATTGTTTTACAAGTATCTGTTCACATTCCTGCTTTCAGTTCTTTTGAGTATATACCTAGGAGTGGAATTGCTGGGTCATATGGTTACTCTATGTTTAATATTTTGAGGAACCAACAAACTCTTCCACAGCAACCATACCATTTTACAATCCCAGCAGTAATGGATGAGGATTTCAGTTTCTCCAAATCCTCATCAACGTCTGTTATTTTCTTTTTTTAAAATCACAGCCATCTTAGTATGGGTGAAGTGATGACTCATTGTGGTTTTAATTTGTATTTCCCTACTGACTAATGACATTGAGCATCTTTTTATGTGTTTGTTGGCCATTTGTAATATTTTCTTTGATGAAGTGTATTTGGGTCCTTTGTCCATTTTTTGATTGGGTTGTTTGTCTTTTCATTGTTAAATTGTGAAAGTTTATGTATTCTGAGTATATGGCCCCCAAAATTTTTCTTCCAATTCGTAGGTTATCTCTTCACTTTGTTCATAACGGTTTTTGATGAACAACAGTTTTTAATTTTGAAGAAGTCCTATGCATCTGTTTTGTCTTTTGTTGTTCATGCTTTCTGCTTGAACTCTTCAGAGAGATGTCTAGACAGAATGCTTATACTATAAACCCAGTTCGCATGACCACTTTTAGGTGTAAGAGGAAAAATGAAAACACTACCTGCAATCTTAAGTACTCAAGTTAACAAGGTCTTACTCTTCTTATTTGTTTCTTTACCTATAAAACTATGCTAGTCTTCTCTTTACAAAATAAGATAAACAACATAAAATTCTATGATTAGCCAGGGCAAAGAAAAATCAAATACATTCAAGAGGTGTTCGTTAAATGTAACTAATACAGCAACTTTTTAGTTAACAGTGATCAATCTAGGCCCATATTTTTTAAAGACTGTAAGTTAAGGAAGAATATCAGTGGTAAAAATGATTTAATTAAGTTTTTAAATGACTTTGGGAAGAAATTAAAAGTAGTGACAATAAATATCCTTTCTTTTCTGAAAAATTATATGAATACATATCCCAAGTTCATGAACTCAATTTATTTGAAATGATAGCAAGAAGAAAAAATATCTTTAAAAAACAGATTTCACAGACTATACTTGAGATGGTGTTCAAAGAAGGAAAATTAGAAAGAGCTCATATTATATCCTCTCATTGATTTTTGTGCCAAATTCCATCACTTCTAATGGCAGTTCTGAAAATGGATGAATGATAGGAGTGCTTTGAAATCTGATTTAAGACCCAAGTGGGGCTACAAGTGAATCAAACCTTTGGAATAATGATTTGCAGGAGAGTAAGTGAATTATGAGTGTTTAGGAGAGATCCACCTGAAAGTTGATATGTTGCTAATCTCCAATTTTTTTTTTTTTTTAACCTCTGGAAAGCATCCTACTATGACTAAGCAGAAAAATTGCTTTTGCACTTTAGATTCACTTCAGTGAACTGAGAATTAGGCAGTATTCCTATAGACAATATCTCACACACCTGCTTGGCATCTTGGAATTAAAAGAGAAAATTTACTAAGATTTGATATAAATGACTCCTGGGTCGCTATGAGTCGGAATCAACTTAATGGCAACCAGTTTGGTTTTGGGATTTTTTTGGTTACATTTTTTAAACACAGAAAGTTTTAAAAGGAAATGAATTATGATGTTTCATTTATTGGCCATAAAAATAAAAAATTACATAAAATCAACAAGCAATGCAAGTTCAGAGTTAAGACATTACCTTTTATGTTTTGTAAAGAACTGATATTAATATGAACTCTAAATTTTATTTCATCTTACAATCTTGTCAAAATATTTATAGTATACTCTTTTAGATAAATCATAATGATAAAGTTAATATTAAAAAATCTTTTTAAGTTAGTTTTCTTTGTCTTTACATCCTCAAAATTTCCGCTTAAGAATTAATCAAGACTCAAAGGTGATAAAAAATATTTCCTTGAGTATATAATGGAAAAGGCATAAGCAACCTAATGTAATCAGAAAGCCACCCTGCTTAAAGAAAATTATGTGTTGTCTTTGTTATGGAAACACACAAAGTTTTACCTTTCATTTCCTATTCAAATTTACTGCCGATGCCAAACAGAGCCAAGGGGAATAAAACTGAGGGTAAAAAATTGGTTTCTTTCACAGCTGGTCAAGATAGATGCAAAGAGAAGAGTGTGTAATCTGAGATTATTTAATGTTTGAGAAGCGTTTTGAAGATGACAAGAGCTAGTTATTGATATGGCTGAAAAAATGAGAGGTAAATATTACTGAGCAGTTTTACATGGGCAATGCGTCTTGAAAGTTGGCATCTCAGAATTGGAGCAGAGCAGCTAGAATACGTGCTTACTTTTTAATTCCATTCCTTTTGATTTCATACAAATTATTTTGATTACCAGACAGCCAGAATCAGGTTCAAAAGAAGTGGGGATTTGTCTGAATGGCCATATGACTCTGTCCCAAAAAATAAAATGAGGGGCTGCTTATCTAGAGGTTCCAAATTGTACCATTGTAGTCAGGTTATACGCAGAATAATAAATCATAAGCCTCCTGATAGAAGTCATTTTAACCTCATCGTGCCTTATTGATCAGATGAAGAAACTGCCAAGTGCATTTGCCACTTATTCCTACAGAACACTGGCAATACGCTCTCTTCCAGGATGCTTAAGAAAGACACCTGTATTCTAGAAGGGTATAAATAAAATATTGCATCCTTATTTCATAGAAGCATTAATTAAACCATGTATCTTGCATTTCACTGTTCAGTGAAGTTTGTGGAGTACTCTAACATTGTTTTTCTCGTTAAGAACAAGAACAAAGGAGAGAGAGGGAGTCTGTACTATCAATGGCAGGATAAAAATATGTATTATTACCAAATTGTAATATTAGAAACAAGACTGCCCCTTGCTATATTTTTAAGTGTTCCTAAAAAATGTGTATGTAAATAAAAACTTTGGAGAAACTCTATTGAAAAGATTCCTTGGCAATTCAAGTTAAAGAGTGAAAAATTCCATCTTGTTAGTTACACAGTTTTCAAACTGTACTATTTGTAGGATGTCTATGTATCATATACATGGAAAGCTGTGACCATTGAATTTTACTTTTTCTACAAATATATATAAACTGAATCAAAATAGATTTTGAGAGACAAGAGAAACCATGACAATTCACAAAAATAATCTTACTCAAAATAATTATAGATATTTGAATTGATACATATGATACTGATTACATATGAGAAATAACCTAGAGTAATTTTTAGAAAAATTCAGACTATGCACTTAAAAATATATACATAATTTACTCTCTTTCAAGGATAAAAATTGCTTTTGTCTCAAACCAAAAACTGGCCCTGTACCAATTTCAGTTCAATGAAAGCCCTAAATTGCCACTTTTCTCTCAGAATTTTGGGACGTATTTATTATAAAACAATTTCAGAGAGTATTTTTTCCAGTGACTTTGCCTACTGGAGTGAATTTTTTGTTAAATTTTGTCCAGCACTCCTTCACACCCATCTGCCTCTCCCTTCTACCTTTACAATAAATAAATTACTATTATTATTATTTTCTTTTCTGTTCAGTGGTAGGACTAGAAATTGAATCTCATTCCTAATCCCAGCCATAGGAATGAATCTTTAAGCCAAGCCTGACCATTCTGAATACTCCCTCTTACCCATGACCATGAAGGATGGGACAATCAGAGTTCTCCACATTTTTATGTGGAACTACTGGGTGATATTCTATTTGGGTTGTCAAGTTGGTAAAATATGAGCATAGTCAGCCAGTGGTCCTCTATCCTACCACAAGGATAGTCTGCTGCAAGATGGAGAGAGGCGGAGTCCAGATAGCACTGTGTGGGATCAAGGAGGCAACCTTGCCTGGAGTCAGATGAATCTCCAGACTTTGCCATTATGAGTACAGACAAACTACTTTGATTTGATTATGTTTGCATTACCAGAAAGCATGAGGAGTCCTGACTGATGCTCTTGCCCCTTCTAGAAACTTACATTATTTTCCTCCATCTGTTTATGTCATGAGAAGTGATCAATTGGAATAACCTGTATGTGCAACATCTGTTTAAACATTGTTTTTATTTTTGATGGAAAATCTTAAATCTCCCTCTTGTTTCTTGAATGCTTGTGTTTTCATGGTCCCAAATGATAAGAGGTCTTTGGGGATTTGGAAGGCTTTGGGCAGCCCAGTCTCTGTGATTGAGGCCCATTTCTAAGAAGAGCTCACTTGTATTCTGAGTGATAGAAGATGGGTGAATCTCATAAGGACTGGGGAAGTTAGCTGGTCAAAATAATTAAGGCTACAATAAAAGGGAAGATTGTCGTTGTTGTGTGCCGTCTAGTCAATTACGACTCATAGCGACCCTATAGAACAGAGTAGAACTGCCCATAGGATTTTCTTGGCTGTAATCTTTATCGGAGCAGATTGCCAGGTCTTTTCTCCTATAGAGCTGCTTGTGGGTTCGAACTGCTGACATTTTGATTAGCAGCCCAGTGCTTAATCATCATGCCACCAGGCTCCTTGAGGGGAAGACTAGGGAAGTGGAAAAAGTTACACAATCTCTTTGACACAAAAAAGCATATGTTTATTAAATAATGTCGGTAATTAAACAGAAAAACTCCTCTGATGATGCAACTAGATCTAGCATCTCAGATGTTATTAAATATTTTAAATATCTGAAGGAGCAACAGTAGCACAAATGTACAGAGGAGTAAAAGTGCTGAAGATCAATCAAATATATGATGATGTATCGATTTGCTTTGAAAAAAATGCTCTAAAGATTATTCATATAGCTTTCAGTTTATAAGTACAGGTATTTTAATAGAGCTATATCTTTCATGTTAAAATAACTGAAACCATAACAAGTTAACTTTACTACCAATTCATGCCAAGTACTCCAAATCAAAATTCCAGGGGGCACTACATATATTGGGAAAGTTTAGGGACAGAAATTAATAAACAGGAGCCATCAGATAACTCTTTTGTGACAATTCTTTTCAGGAAAATAATCCAGCTTCACTTCATGAATCCAGGAAATCTCATGCATAAAGATGAGCCATTCCAGGGTTTGCCTGACTTTGTGAGTTCTGTAAATGGAATTCACAGAAAATGTCCCAAATTCTATGGTTTCAGACTCAGGGAGATAGTAGTTAGGCTCTGGCTACCAGTGAATATCATCCAAATACAACAGACATAGATCTATGAAGTATATTCAGTCCTTTTGAGAAATTAATTTTCTAATATTTTATGTTTGGGTTGACACATTTTCTTCCTGGGCTAAATATGTCATAAATGAAAGTTTTAGTTAGCCTCAGCAGTACTTCTACTAAATTGCCCCATTGTCATTGAATCACAAACCCACTGAAATAGAAAAGGCTTGAGTAATGACATGTTATTTCAATTTGGAGGAAAAAAAACTAAATTGAAGGCTTCAAAATGATTAGCTTTCCATGATTTGTTGACTCTAATGTGTTTCCTTTCCTTTCTCTTTCCTAAAGACATTTTTGCATTCTAAGCACCAGTAATTATCAATGTATCTTGACTACATGTTTGATCAATCTGCTGCAAAAGACCTCTTCAAAGTATTAAAAAGCAAAGATGTCACCTTGAAGACTAAGGTGGGCCCGACCCAAGGCATGGTATTTTCAATCGCCTCGTATCAATGCAAAAGCTGAACAATGAATAAAGAAGAAGAATTGATGTCTTTGAATTATGGCACTGGCAAAGAATATTGAATATAGCATGACTTCAGAAGATGGAGCGAATCTGTCTTGGAAGAAGTATAGCCAAAATGCTCCTTAGAAGTCAAGATGGCAAGACTTTGTCTCATGTTCTTTGGAAGTGTTATCAGGAGGAATCAGTCCCTGGAGAAGGACATCAAGCTTGGTAAAGTACAGGGTCAGTGAAAAAGAGGAAGATCTTCAAGGAGATGGATTGACAGAGTGGCTGCAACAATGGGCTCAAACATAGCAACTTATGAAGATGGCGTATGGCCGGGCAGTGTTTTGTTCTGTTGTACATAGGGTCCCTATGAGTCAGAACCAACTCAGTGGCACCTAATAACAACAACAAAGGCATTTTCATGGAAATCAACTCTTTTTTAAGAATGAATTATCTCTTGTTGCTTTTACCCCACATAGAGTCATAATCTTGTCACTGTGGTGTCATAATAGTTTCCACTTTACTTCCATTGAGAGAGTGTGACTGTTCTTCCCAAAAAAGTACACAGCATGTTCATACTATTTTCATGTAAATATTTTTGGTATTAATGATAAAGACTTCATCTAAAGCATCTTCTCAAAACTATTATCACGGAAAATGATTTGTTCTTTATACTCATCAGCCAGTTTCAGGAAATTTAAGAGAGTGCAAAAACTAAGACTTAAATTTTCTTTCTAATTTTATTTCATTGAGTTAGTTTCATGAATCAACATAGATTATTTTTCATATATTTAAATATAAACAAGATTAGACCTATGATTTCTACTTACAAGGGAATTTCTATCCATTTGTGGGAAGATACTGATAACTTAATAGTTTAATTTTTGTATGTACATGTATATGACTGATGTTATCTTGAAGTATATGGCCATTAATATAGACATGACTAATTTTATTAAGCACCCCCAGGGACTTTGGAAATAAATATTACAATGAAATACCCCTATTTTAGTGCATCTTTAATTTTAGTAACATAAATTGATACTTTTTATATTTTTTCTAGATTTAATGATATTGCCATAATCAGACAGAAAACAAGTTCATAGAATATTTTATCTCTAATGAGGTAAATATTTGTGAGTTGAAAATTAAAAAAGAAGATATTTTCCTATGCAAAATGATTTTTTCAATCTGACATCTCAGTTCAATATTTGATATTTATATAGAAATGCATTATGATGCTTTCAGTTGAATCAGATGTAGGTACCAGGAGATCAAGTTTTACCCCCAATCAAGTCCTCAAATAACTGTGTGATCTTGCCAAGTTTGCTTAACTTCTCTGAACCTCCCTTTCCTCACATATAAAGTGAGGAATTCAGCCTCTATAGTATAAGAAAATGTTTCTCTTTAATGAGCTATCTCTATGTTTCAACATGAAAATACCTAATTTTTGTATGTGAAATATCAGTTCTTCCTAAGGAACTGAGGGGACCGTTCTATAAATCCTTTATAATTTAGGCGAAAATCTACCAGGAAAATATTTTTAAGGAAATAAAAATGATAGTAATGGAAATAAGAGAAAAGTATACGAAGTATGGCCCTTCCTTGAGGTCAGGGACATCATCTTGTCTGTCTTTGTGAATAACATCAGGCATATAGTAAGTACCTAATCTTTAATGCATAAATGAGGGTAGATGTCATAGCAAAAAAGGCTGAAGAACATTTGGAGTATCTTGATTCCATGTAAAACAACAAGATTCATTAATTTAATAAATATTTATTGACCTTATGCCATGTGGTAGGCACTGAAAATTCTCTGGTGAATAGGATAGATTTGGTTCCTCTCCTCAGAAAAACTACAAACAACTGAAGACTACAGGCATTGAACAAACAAATTTCAACTGCCATGTATGTTACAAAATGGAAAGTAAAGGGATACTACAGAATCCTGTATCAGGCAGAAGCTAAACTCATCTGAGGTTTCAGTGGCTATGAAAATCATAACCTCTCTCCCAAAGAAAACCAAACCCGCTGCCGTAGAGTCGATTTCAACTCATAGCAACCCTGTAGGACAGAGTAGAACTGCCCCATAGGGTTTCCAAGGCTGTAAATCTTTACAGAAGCAGACTGCCACATCTTTCTCCCACAGAGCAGCTGGTGGGTTTGAACCGCTGACCTTTCAGTTAGCAGCCAAGCATTTTAACTACTGTGCCACCATAGTTACAAAAAATTGAACTTAAGAGACAGTATTCAATATTCCTGAACTTTAATATTATGAATTTAAAAGAGAAATACAAAGAATGTTAATGTAAATGAGGGAAGTTGAAATAAAGTACCTATGTACTCAGTGTTTTATTTTTAATCTTGAAAGATAGGTTATATGAATTCACCTGTGTGTGTGTGTGTGTGTGTGTGTGTGTAGCTACACACACATGTATATAGCCAGATAAATAGATAGATAGATATTTTTATATATAAATAAAAAGCATCCCTTTTCAGTCTTACGCACAGAAAAAGAGCAGCATAGGCTTAGTAACAGACTCACCTCAAGATTCTAAGTCACCATATAGGAATCAAATTATACTTCATTTCTTTAGGGTAATGAAAGAAATCTTACATGAACACATTCTGTTTTATATTGATGATTAGAAGCATCATGAAAAAGATTAAAATATTCCTATGTTGAAAAATAATCTGGTAAAATAATTAGGAGTTCAGTTATATGAATGTCCTTATAATTATCCATTGTATCAAAGACTTAATAAGAGAAGAAAGCTTAGATTGTATTAACGTGGACTAACAAAAACTTTCAGCATAAAGGGCTGACAGTATATACGTTCAGCCTTAAATTTAACTTTAAAAAAACTATTGTTATTAGATGAGAATGGTGAAAACATGATAGAATTGCTTTCAGTATATAACAAGAGAAAGAGAATTGTGTGTAAGTGTTGGTAGTGCAGGGACTGAGGAGAAAGAGGAACTCAAGCATTCTTAGAATCAGTATGTGAGCCTGATCAAAGCAAGACATCAGGAGTTAGTGGCCTGGTTTCTAATCCCTGGTCTGCCAGTGAATAAGACACTTATTTTTAACATCATCTGTAAAACAGAGTTTGGATCAGCTCAGGGGAGGTGCTCAGCTTTAACCCATGGATTTATGAATGGGTCTCAGGGGACACAAGAACCCCCCTGAAGCTATATGAAAGTGTTCATGTCAGCATATGTGTATTTTTCTGAGAA